CAAGCACCAGGGTTTGAATTCATGGGGTTGGTGGTGAGCTCCTTCTTGAATGTGAAAAATTAAACATCTTATTTTTTCCATTAGAAATCCCCCATGAGGGGGATTACAAAGCGCCTGCTGTGTTTCCTTCCTTAGCAGCACTGCACCACTGTCTCCACGCAAATCAGCTGTGGCCCCAAATGCTCTGGACCTCATGGTTGATACAGACAAAGCCCTTAATCCCTTTCCACATCCCAAACCCAGGAAGCCTTGAACACTGCAAAGTTTTTGTTGTTGTTTTTTGTCTTTGTTCTTTTTAATAAATAACTTATTTGGTGCCCACACCTGAACTCCCATGAAGCTACTATATTATAACCTTCATTTGCCTACTTAAAGACTCAAACATATCGCTGCAGTATTATTAATATGTTTGCTTATAGGATGACATCTAAGACTCTTAGACCCTACTGGGGAGTTAGATAAAACAAGATATGCACTGACCCATTGTTCTAAAATTTGAAAGAGTCTGAATTCCAAACACACTGGACCCTTGCATTTCGGAAAGAAAGCCACCGTGCCCCCATAACAATGGCTGGTCTTCATGGTGCACACTCATGCTTTAGGCCATTTGATCCCCACACAGCCCTATGGGAAGGTTCCTTTAGCTTTTGCATTTGACAGTGGGTGACACACAGATTAAGAAACCAAGCCAGGCTGCACATTGAACAAGCACGGAGTCGGGACTGGACCAGGCAGCCTGGCATCAGAAGCTTTCCTCTTAAAACTCCTTCGTACTGCCTGTGTTTTCTGTTTCACTCCTACTGAGATATTAATCACCCACTTAAATTCAAAATACTGCAAGAAACACAGCATTCCGTGGTGATTAAGAATATGGTCTGTGGATATAGAATGCCTGAGTTTACATCTCAGCTCCATAGCTTCGCCGCTGTGTAACTCTCGGCATGTTACGTAACTTCTCAGTGCTTCCTCTGTAACTGTGTGGGCTGTGTGGATAAACCAAGGGCTTCTCAACTTTCCAACATATTCATAATAAAATGAAAAGACGAGAAATCACACTTATTGACCAATTCCAAAAGGAAATTCATTTTACCTTATCAAATTGTTGCCAAAAGATTTGCTTATTTCAACTCTGGAAAAACACCTTTGGCAGGGTGAAAGGGTTGAATTTTTACCTTTAATGCTTTAAATAACTTCTAAATAGAAGCCTGTTTGGTGTAGAGGAAAAAAAGACATGTGAATGTCTCACTTTGCAAAAGAGCAACAGGAAGCTCTGGTTGGCAAGGTTTTACATGGACTTGAGAGAGTTTAAGGTCAAGGTGCAGAAAAGCTAGTGAGGAACTGAAGCTGAGGCTGAGCTTGCAGCTCAAGTGGGTGGTGGGGCGGGGCTAGATCTCTGCCTGCTCAGGAGGGCTGTGTGCCTCTCCCTTCTCCCCTGGCCAGCTGGTCACAGGAACTTCTTTTTCCAGGGCCTTGTAGAAGATTCTTCGTGGTCCCAGCACTTCCACATCTGAGCCAGCTCAGGCTGGGTGGAAAGTTTTGAGGGTCACCTATTCCTAAATATTCAGGAGGGGGAAAAAATCCCTTGCAAGGAAAAAGCCACCCTTTCTCAATACCTAGACGTGATACTACGATTCCTAGAAACAAAAAACAACAACATTCATTCTGTCTTGAAAATTCAAGTAGGCACAAGGCAATGACGTGGTCGTTTTTGTTTCTCATGGAACTGGGATCTGCGGTTCTCAAGGACTTTCTGGATGGTGACTGCAGCCGGGGCAGTGAGGTCGGCGTGGCTGGGGCTTTCCGGTCACTGGTGGGCAGAGGAGCACAGCGAGCATGTACTGGGGTTGGGTCTGTGGGCTGGGAGCCAGCAGGCCTGCACTCAAATGCAGTTCTACCACTTTCTACTTGCGGGGTTTGGGGTAATAAGGACTCTCTGGCTCAGTTCCTCAGCTGTAAAGCAGGGAGAATAATAGTATTCGGCTCCCAGGGTTGCTGTGAGCATTACATGAAGGGAGACGTGGCAAGGCATTCAACACCTTGCACATATCAGCCATTGAGTTAATGTTATTTATTATTGTTGTGCTCTGATCCTAGTTGTACAACCAGGGGAACATCATTAACCTCTTTTAGTCCTTCTTTCTTCATTATAAAATAGCGTAAAAATACTTACCCAGTGTAAGTATTAAATGGAATAGTGTACAAATTGGCATTTATTGAGTTGGGTTCAACAAGAGGCAGCCTTCCTAGTAAGGACTGTTCGGGAGTCTTCTACACCTTAGATTCCCCATGAGATCTTTTCAAAGGCAAATCTAATAACACACCCTTGCTTTCCGGAGAAGCCAAGGTTTGATCCTTGCTCAGAGCAGCTTGAAGCAGCAGTGAGTGAGTAAAGCTGGCAGCCCTCCAGCTAAGAGAGGAAACCTGAACAAAACCCTGGAAGGAAGCATCTAGAAAGCTTCATGCAGTGTTAGGTACACTTCTCAGGCTGTGATAACTTAGTTCAACCTCACACACTATTACGAGCTGGAACTACTATCATTTCCATTTTGCAGGTGACGAAACTGGATTGAAACCCAGGTCATCTGGCCCTGGAGTCTGTGTCCTGGGCACCAAGTGCTGCCCTGGCATAGGGGCTTTCCGAGGAGAGAGGAGGCTGAGATCATGGTGGGGAAGTGAGCGGAGAGGTTGGTCGGACTGCTGTGAACATCAGGCCCACCTTCAATTTAAAACAATTTCTTCAAGGAAACACAGCTCCAACCATTCCTTGTCAGCAGAGCAGCTGCACGCAGCCCCTTGTCCTGCATGTCCTCATAATTGTCCTTCTCCACTTCCTCTCTCCTCTCCCCCTGGCCGACTTATTGATACCGATGCAGACAAATGAGGTCAGAAAACTTCAGTGACCGCACACAGTGTCCTTCTCTGTGGGTCACTCGCTCACAAGGTCAGCACAACAAACTCTCTCACTGCAAGGACTGTCCCTGGGAAGCTGGGGGAGGAGTCTGTGCAGTTCTGTGTCTCCCTTGACTCCTGCCTGTCTGAGGCCAGAGTGGGACTGTGCTGATTAGAGAGGGGGCACTTCAGGAGGGCAGGAGTGAGGTGGAGGAGGTGACCCTGAGCTAGGCAGAAGATGTCCTTTGGGCACTTTGGAAGATCACCCAGGAGGCTGTTCACTGAAATGAGCTTTTGCACTTGGGACATTGCATAGTCATAGAACACCTTATTACCTTGCTTTGGTAATAATTAAGAGTTCAAATCAATCACTTTTCCACTCATTATTTTTAAAACTATGGATGTCAGAAATATAATCCTTGTTGTTACTGTTTTGGGGGATGTGGGGAAGCGAGATTAGCCCGCCACTGAATCAACCATCCGCATGTAATACATTGCTTGGTATAATTAGAAGATTGTATATTGCTCTTTCCGGAGATACTTTAAGAATCATATTGTAAACTTGCGTAACATTTTATAAATTATTTTGCATACATTTTTAGGAGATGAAAAATCATTTTGTTTCAGATTAAAAGCTCTCTCAAAAGAAAATCTAAATATCTCTTCCTGGACATAGCTTTTTCAGACTGCAACTGCAGAATGGGGCTTTTTTCTTTCTCCCTTTATTTAAAGATCACATAAATTTTAAGAAAAGAAGGCCAGTGGTTTTAGGAGGCTAAGAGCAAAGATTTAGAAAGAAAAAAGAATTTGCCTTTGGAAGATCTGCATATTTTGGAAATGAAGAGAGTTTTATTTCTTAGAAACAGGAGGATTTATAGATTTATGTTTCCTCCATAAGATAAATGACCGAAGCGCACGTTGCTGTTTTTTCAGCACTAAATCTAATCAATAATCTTTGTTATTAAAGAAAGAAATACATAATCTCTAAAGTTTAGTAAGTCTCTAAAGGTGAATTTCACTGTGTTCTAGTGTTCCGGGTTATTTGAAACTTTGTTTGTGTGTCTCTCTCTAGAGGTGCTTTAGCTAATTTCTATTAAATCGCTATGGAGTCTTTTTTCTTTTTGCTACGAGCCTTGGTAAATATGAGACAAATCATACAGGTTTAGAATCACAGAATGTTAGGGCTGGAGAGGACCTGGGAAAGGAGCGAGCCGCGTGCCCAGGGTTTACAGTTAAGACTTGAAGGCCCCCAGAACTGCCGAGACTTGCCCAGCGTCACCCAGCCGCTGAGGCCCAAGGACCTCCGAGTCGCATCCGACCTGGGGCGTGCGCAGCTTCCATTCTCGGCTCTGAACGCCGGCCCTGGAGTTGTCCCTGCTCTTTTGCAGCTCAACACATGGGGATCAAACTCTCTCTGCTCCCCTCACCCCCACCAAGCGCTGCACCCACCTCCCCCCACCAAACAAAAGGTCCAGGCACCGGAAAAGTTCCCCGCCGGGAGCAGTTCGGGTCCTGTCGCGCTGCGGCGTAGGGTCTGCGCGGGGCGGGACGGTGGGCGCGTCTGGCCGCCCGGGTCTGCAGGCGCGCGGCGACGCCGGCCCGGGACGCCGGTCTCAGCGCCCGGCTCCGGCGGGGCGGCCCCGGCCGCGCGGAGCCAGGCTCGCGGGGGTCAAGTCCAGGTTGCGGCGCAGGAAGGCGGCGGGGGAGGGGCCGGCCGCGCCCTCACCCCGTCTTCTCTGCGCCCTGCGCGGAATGTTGGGCCGGTTCCCTCGGTGTGGTATGTCTATATAAACAGCGGTAGGCCCCGGGCCGACGCGTGGTGCATTTTTAATTTCGCCTTACAAATTGCGGCCTCCTGGCGTTGGAGAAGCGGTGGGGGACCTGGACTCCCCGCCTTTCGGGTGCATTCCTGGGCTCCCGCCTGCCCAGACGCGAAGGGGTGCTGTGCTTCCTGGCTTCGCAACGCACCTCATTTGTAACATTATCTGTGCTCGGGAGTCAGTCTTTCCTACTTACCTGGAACGGGCAAAACGTGGCTGCTTAGTAGGGTTGACTCTTAGTCTCCCGGGGCGGGAGCAGAGCGTAGAATCCTTTTTCCACTCGGTGTCCGCAACCACCAGCCCAGACCACTGGCCCTGGCGGCTCCGTCCCGTCTGCGGGCCCCAGGACCGTGCGCTTCCCCGTGTCGCCCTCACCTGCGTCCCCGCCACCTTTCCACAGCACTCAGTCCTCTCCCACCTCCCCGCCTCGCTCACTCAGAGCACGGAGCCTCATCCAGAACCGCCCCAAACCCAAACCCTTTAAACATTGATTTCGGCATCCCTCAATTCTCTGCTTTCTTCCTGGCAGAAGGGGAATCATTCTCCTTACTTGGGAGTTTGTATTTTGAGGCAGATAATACAAATGACAAAGATAGAAATCCCACAGAGCCTATAGCAGTTTTGACTTTAAACATGAGGCGAGTTAACAAGGAAAGCAGCGATAAATTCAGCCCAGGGCACGACCCAGCACTAAATCCTCCCTTACAGGGTCCAGATTTCTGGCCAACTTGTCAATTTGATGCCCCCTTTCTCCACTGGCCTCGCAATTCCCTTTTAGGTTGTGTTGTTTTTGTTGGTTCACTTTTGTTTTACCGCCAAGTTATCTCTGCCACCACTCCCCACCGCCCCCATTTTCTGACTCTGTTTTCCAAGCTTCTTACACATGTCCAAAATAACACACCCCTCGCTTCTCCTGCTAAATCCCTCAAATTGCTGCCCTAGTAGAAATTTTGAAACAAGTTCGTGGCAGGACATTTTGTTCATTCGCCTACATGAGCTGGTGAAAGATGGAAGGACATGGTATTTGCTGGAAATGAAAACATGGGGAAAGCTGTTGGAACCGACACCACTGTGTTCTTTTTGTCCCTTGCACAAGGTAATCGTGTATCCTTCACATTCTATATGAAAACAACCTACAAAAAAACACGTAGCCTCCACTGGAGCTGATGAGTACTGGGCAGGGTTAAGCAAGAAGCACTTAGTGTGCCTGAGTAAATAGTGCGGGAAGGATGACAGCATGTTACACTAATAGGCTGATCATAGCGATAAACTTGTCCCAAAGATTCTTTCCGCTTTACGTTGAGCAGTTACTTTGCTTCAAAGGAAGTGGGTAAATGGTGTTGGTTTTATGGCCTGGAATCTTCTACTCAGACAGCTTCACAACAAGCCTGCATTAAACGTTGTGTTATCTTCCTGCTCCGTCAGATTTAGAAAGAAATAATATTATTACATACACCATACATTATTTTCCTCTTGATGTTCTACAAAAGGAAGGAGATCAAGTTACTCACTTTGTTCAACACACAGAATAAATGCTTCATGGAATAAATGGTCCACAAGGTAGAAGTAAGTAGATGATTCTGACTGCCTACCTGACAATGGTGGGGATTATACAAGGTAAGAAATTTAAAAAAAAAATGAAGAGTTCCCAAACACTTGGAGGTTCTTTAAGTCTCACTCGGTTTAGTCCTTTCGCTTTTGTTGATTATAATGGTAACTGCTAACATTTGCCAAATATTTATGATGTGCTGAGCCCTGTGCTAAGCCCCTGCATACATGATCTTATTTAATTCTTACAGAACTTCAGTGAGGTGAGTCCCTATTATCCCAATTTTATAGGTAAGGAAATGAGGTCAGAAAGAGCATATGTAACTTGCCCAAGGTCACACAGCAAAGAAACCAAAGTGAATTTAAAGTATCACTTTTAGCCCCTATTCTCTTCAGCCTCCCACGTGATTTCATGTTGAAAAGCTGTTGGCAATATCAATTAAGGAATGAAGTGAAATAAGCTCTGTTAGATGTTGGATTCTGAGAAGAGTTGCCATTAACCATTAATGGGGCACTTAGTATCATCTGCTCCTCAAGTAGGTTTGCAGTGTCATCCCCAATTGGAGGAGTGCACACCAAAGGCTCAGACCAGCTGAATGACTTTCTGAAGGTCATGTGGTGGCAGAGCTGGTGTTTGAACCCAGATCTATTTACTCCTGAGCCTGGGCATTTCACCTTGCTGCCGTATGTGGTATCCTCTGCTCCCTGGCTCATGTCTCTGTGTGTGTGTGTGTGTGTGTGTGTGTGTGTGTGTGTGTGTGTGTGTGT